AAACAAGGTCTCCCCTCATCCCCCAACTCTCACTGAGGGGACCTTCTTCTTCACCTCCTCCTGAGCCTCCTCCATGACCTCTATGCTTACTATGGGGCCCTCTGTCTCCTCTGTTGTAAGCTGACTGAGTGGCCCCGTGGACTACCTTGGTCAGTCATCACAGACACGAATTATTTCCATCAAGTTGACATCATTTGTATATTTTCCCCTCGGTTAATATACTGTGCCAGGGAGGGGAGGAGGAGGGTCAGGGGGAGTGTTGGTGAGGGAGAGAAAGGGTGAGGGGAAGCGTTAGTGCGACAAGTTTGGGGGAGAGTGGGGGAGGGATGGTTTGAGGGATGATATAGGGAGTAGGTGGGGGGAGGGAAGGAGAGGATTATGTGAGGCTGGTATAAGGAGGTTGGACGGACACACACACACACACACCGCTCTGTCCCGGCTATATAAAGTGTATTAAACAATGAGGTTCTGTTGTAAGGAAGAGTCCTGCCTGGGGCGGTGAGTGACGGCCCAGGGACACCCTCCTGTCCACCCTCCACCCTCCTCTCATCTCCTTCCACCCTATCACCCTCCACCCTACCCTCGTACCCTCCTGTCCATCACCCTCCACCCTCCACTCCACCCACATGCTGAATAGGAAAATGTGAACTTGCATGATTATTTTACTCATTGAATATCTATCCATCTATCTATCTATCTATCTATCTATCTAGCTATCTATCTATCTATCTATCTATCTGTCTATCTATCAATCTATCTATCTTCCTGTATAGTTATGAACGAACATAATATTCACAACACCGTCCTTGGCACACTACCCCGACGAGTGTGCCTGAACAACGATGGTCTTCCCAGGGACAGCATCTCGTCGACAGTACTTCCCAAGAGCCTGATGCTCACCACACAACTTGACCTAAGCCTCAGTGGGGAGGAGGAAGGGCCCAACCACCACGTAGCAGTAGGTGGCGGCCCCCCGGGGAGACATCTACAGGAAGGAACGAGGGTTAAAGGAAGACTCCCTCCATGTGTGTGTCGCTGCAGGACGTGAGAGAGAGAGAGAGAGAGAGAGAGAGAGACACTGATGAGAAATAATAATAACCAGACGAGAGAAGGGGTTGTCAGGTATATAGGTGTCAATAACCTATATCTGAGACATTATGGATGGAGGTGAATGAGTGAGAGAAGGTCTTTAAGTTATCGAACACAACTCCAAGAGGTGGATTGAGGCGAGGAGGTCACACAATACCTCGATCAACACCCACACGACACACTCACCAGAGACACAGCTGCTAACATACAAGGGATTACTCTGATGAACATACGAACACGGGGGGGAAAAAATAAAGATTAGAAATAGTCAAGGTGTCTTCCTCCTGATCATAGGTGTAATTGATATATACAGACCTATTCCCCCCGCCATGAGACAGATCTATAAACACACACATGGATAAACACGTCGGGGTATAATAAACAGTAGCCACATACCATACAGCTGTCATGTCCCGGATTGACACACACACACACACACACACACACACACACACACACACACACATACATATATCAAGGTCCGTTCGTCTGTCTGTCCATCCCTGGTACGTCCGTTTGTAATGTGTTAACAAAGTGACTATATATTTCACCTGTTGAACATCATCACTACCAACCACAACTCCTCCACCACTAGTCACACCATCAACCACACCACCAACCACACCATCAACCACACCACCAACCACACCATCAACCACACCACCAACCACACCATCAACCAACGTATCGTGGTGGCGATAGATCATCCAGAGTTCCTGTTAAGAAAATCCCTAACACATGTTTTTCCCCCCCGCTTCAAGTCATCTTCTTCGTCTTTGTGTAAATGTTGAGGAATTATTGGTGTATTTTTGGTGTGATGGTGTGGGGTGGGGGTGAAAGGGGTGAACTGGTAGGGGTGAAAGGTGAACTGGTGGGGTGAACTGGTAGGGGGTGGTAGGGGTGAACTGGTGGGGGTGAACTGGTAGGGGGTGATCTGGTAGGGGGTGAACTGGTAGGGGTGATCTGGTAGGGGGGTGATCTGGTAGAGTGGCGAACTAGTAAGAATTGTATCACTTTGTTAATATATAAGTAAATACGGGGTGAAACGTTTAGAAAGATAATACACGTAGTCAAAAAGTTTCAGTGTTTTATCATGGAACTTTATCTAAGAATAATAATCAAGTTTAGTGTGAGAAGTGTACCAGCAACAGCACCTCACCACAGCTGGGGAGGTGAGGGAAGCAGGTCACGTTACAGGGGTGGTGAAGGTCGTCCAGCCTCCTCCTCCTCCTGCACACGCTTCTTCCTGATAAACCTGTAATGAGGGAAAAATAAGTGACCCGGGATTCACGAGGTGGGAGGAACATCTATCATGGAGGTAGTGTAAGGGTCGGGTTGCCGTAATGGATGTAGCAGCTCCTCACACACACACACATCCAGGCTCCAGTCATCACAGCTTCACTCTGACAGATATATTGTTGACATGAGAGAGTGTGAGTGTGAAGGGGGGGGGGAGCCAATCAGCACCGTGGGACAGGTGGTAGGTGGCAGTTTCACCCAATCACCAGACAGTCACACACTCAACCCTCATACTAAATAATTCTCTACCGTCATTTATTGTGTTTATACTTGTCTCTTTCCATTTTCTCATTTGACGTGATTACTAATTCAATGCTTTACCTGGGTGGTGGTGAGTTCTAGTTAGGTTAGGTTAGAGCCAAACTTAACCTAGACAAACATAGACCCAATCATTCAGTGAGTTAGTCAATGTTCGTAGTGTTACCCCGAATGGAAGTGGTCGCTTAGTCACCGTCACACAGTATACACTAGAACACATCGGCTGTTGCTTTAGTATAGGTGGGGGGGAGGGGGGGGGTCTGGAGGCACAAGAAAGAGGAACTGAATAATATGAGGATGACAACACTTATAATCCCTCACGTCTCTCATTTTCTTCTAAACTCATGAGTGTGGTATCTTTGAGTCAGTGGCTGGGGAAGGGAGTCAAGCTGAAATTAGATCCCGACCAAACTAACAAGACACGTGAACTATCCAAACGCTTTTATCTTAAGGACTTGACGATGATCTGGGCCGTGTGTAACGAAAAACTCGTCAAGCCGCATGAGTTGTGAAGTAGAGCAAGAAATGTAAAAAAAAAATCTTGCAGAGACAAGCTGGCCTGTGCCTGTGCTGTCCTTCGTAATGTAATGTATCGGGAGGAACATATGTGTGTGTGTGGAGGAACGAGCATGGTGAGCAGACTAACGCATGTTCATACAACAGATATCTTTTAACCCTTTCACAGCGGGAGGTTACCCTAAGCTGAATAAAATCGTTTGGTGGTAGCCAGAATAAAATGGCAAGTGCGTGAAAGGTGGCTAAAGGGTTAATGGAGATAGGTTTTAAGCGATGATTTAGTCTTAGCTGGGGTTGGGTGTGTGTTGTTCCACACCTTGATATGTTATGGAGGTGTGTGAACCATAGTGGCCAGACACAGTGTGCATGTGAACCACTGTGTCCAAACACTGGGGTGGGTGTAGGTGTAAGGTTAGCTGGGTGGAGGTGTCACGCCCACAACACATGGTGGACGCCACCTGCTGGATGGGGAGGTCCTCACTACCCTTCCTCCTCCTCTCCCATGACCCTCGCCCTCCTCACACACCCTACAGCTTCCTCTCATTATCGCCCCGGTTGTGTAGCACTGAAAAAATAATGGCTTTTTGACCTTTGTCTCGTCACACACACACACACACACACACACACACACACACACACACACACACAGCTTGTTTGTACTGATGCAGCGTGTAGTAGATGCATTACCGGGCTGCGTGATAAGTAAACAAACACTGAGACCTTCCACCTTGAGTGTTGTCTTGAAGATGATCTTATGCTCCTGTCCATATACTATTACTGATCAGTTACCAAGCCTAGGCAGAGGACCCGACTGGACAATAAGCATCTGATGGCTTTGTTGGTTATCCAGAGTCAAATTACGTTACTATTTATCATTGTTATATAAGTACACTGTCTAGGTACTGCACATTGGAAACTGTATACCTCCATGGTCTCTGTACACCGTATACCTACTTTACACACGTTCAACTGTAACTTGCTGTGTCTACATAAAGTACATGTCATACCAATTGTAAACCTTAATGATGAGTTTACTTAAAACGAAATATTATTATTATTATTATTAGTAGTAGTAGTAGTAGTAGTAGTAGTAGTAGTAGTAGAAGGTGAAATAAGCTGGAGGGGCTAATCTTCAGGTATGTAATCAATGGTAAAACAGCAAGAGTGTTTCAACCAAGGGTAGCCCCCCCCCCCTGCCGCCCCACTCCCGAAAAAAGACCTTCGTAAGTTTATTTCCATTAGAGAGCATCCAGTACACACACACACACACACTTAACACCGTAAGTATAGTACCCGTTGTTTATAATGATGTAACTTTACCTGGCTCCCTTCCTCCCCTACCTTGCCTAACATTTACTGTAATATGATTCACAATGTGTTATTGGATTATCAGTTCTTCATATTTATGGCCAAAAAAAATGGGTTTATGGAAGCAGTAACACGTATGACCTTATCGCGAGAAATAATCCTGTTACACTATAACGATCACGTTCATTTAGGTGTTGTTGAAGACGGCGTGAATGGATTAATAGGAGGGCGTGTGTGTGTGTGTTGGGAGGGGGGTAGGACTCTGAGTGGTGATGGTGGACACACTCGGCTTGTGGTTGACCTCAGTCTAAACAGTTTACTCTAGCGACGCTTGTTTACGTCTCGACCAGTACGGTAGTCTATTATTCTAGCTGAAATTGTATCCCTCGACACCCCCCCTCCCTCCCTTCTCCAGTTTTACACACATGACGAAAAAGGCAAATTGACCACCATGCACCACACTATACTACACCACACCAAACTGCACCACACCAAACTACATCACACTATACACCACACCACACCACACTTCACTACAGTATACAACACTGTTTTATTCCACGTGACGGTAATATTTAACTTATAACAAGCTTATTTACGCTATAAAAATTATTTAATGATGAACCAATAAGAGATTTAGTCCTAAAAACCTAACGAAAAGTGATATTTGAGCATCCGGAACGGTCAAGTCAACACAGATCCGGATTCAGTCACCGAACACCGCCTGTCATGTTTACATTCTTGTCCCCGCAGACGACACACTAGTTGTTATGGTCACCAGCCTAGGGAACATGGGCCACACTGCATTAACTGAGACGTGGATCTGTAAAAGTTTGTTTCGTAAGTGTTTTTTCCACATTTAATTATAAGGAACAAACACGGGGTAAACGTATGGAAGAACCCTACCAGTTTATTAATGAAGTGACAATTAACTTAAAAGTGTCATTCTTGTTCTTAATAATGGTTTGTGTTTGTTTTCTTAGAGTTTTATGAATATATGTATATTTTTTTATGTCTAACTGTATTTCTTTATGAGTAAATGACAGTTAAAAACAGTGGATTTGAAATGTGATGATATCATACCAATAATATGTTTTATTCTGTTCATGCATTGTTAATGAAAATACTAATAGAAAACTACATTATTTGGCAGTAAGGTAATTGGTCTGTGAAGGAATATATGTAGTATACCTTGATATTTTTTAAGGTAATATTGGCACATGTTAATCAGCAGTTTGAGGATATTTTTCTGTTGAAGATTAATGCTTTCTTGCTTCATGAAAATCATAAATGATGAGGATTTGCTTTTTACATAATATTGTACTGTATTTTATGTGCTAAATCTTCCCTCCACGAAAATTATGTGTTGAGCTGTAAATTTAGAGATGTGTGAGCTAGAATGGAAGTTCATAGTCTTTTATTTCCATAGATTATACATACAGAGTACATGTATATTGTTCTCGAGATGGTCTGTTATTCTCTGCAAGATCCTGAAAACTTTATAATATAACGGACATTTCATTCTAAAGTAATACAGTAATGACATTCCAGATACAATGTAGCCCTCTGTTGGCTCTAAGGAGAATGATGTGAGTCTGCATTCAAGAGATGATGATTACACAAGAGGAAGATGATTTGGAGGAGGAGTTACGTTGCCTCGATATCCGTGAGGACCACGGGGCAGAAGACAGCGATGTCACACCAACAAACACTCCTCCAACTTCACTTCCCATCCTCTACATCAAGAAATATCCCCCACCCAAACCAAACTATGAGGAGCACAAGGATTTTGGAAGGTAGCTTTATATGTTGTACAGTATATTAGTGTTTATAGACTTCTCAGTGTCAGTTGATGTAATAGAGATAATTAAAGAAAATAATTCATGTAAGAAGTACTGTGTTATAATTTTGTATTAGATATTTCTCTTTGGTTTCTTAGGGAAATACATAGCTACTGTATACATAATAAAGGCTTTGTTATCTGGCATGGCAGAGAATGGGAGATGTCAATTATGGTAATCAAATATGCCAATTAACAGAGAATAACACTTACCTAATGAATACCATAAAGGTATACAGTGTTCACTTGTCAAATAGTATTAGCACTCTTAGAGCTTTTGAAAGGCCCTATCAGAGGTGGACGATCTAAGCATGTGTAGGATCTTTGCATGCTTCCTGCTACCGTAGTTCTATAACAAAATTCTCCTTCCTCTGAGACATCACTTTCTACATCACTCTGCCAACCATTCATGACATTCTTTATGGTCAAATTTCGGAGAGAATTTATTACAATTGATAAGAAAGAACTTAAAATGACAAGTGACTTGAGCTCTTTCAAATGTATCACTGAAATAAAAATGAGCTTAAAGTGAATTAGGTACACCCAGGAAATTTATTAGTGGAGAAAAATCAAAGGGAAATGTAGTTAAAGGGTTACTGGTATGTATAGGTGGGGGGAAAGTCCAAAGATGAGAATAAGAGATTTACAAAAGACAAGTCGAGTGCTTAAGGGAATACAGTAGATTGTAAGGTAAATTGAATGATATCTGAATAATTGATACGTCTAACCCTTTGTGTACAGGGTCACCTCTGAGCCGAATAAGATCATCTAGTGTTAGCCAAATGAAATATTAAAAGTGGTGTCTTTGTAGTGAAGGAGTTAATTGTATGAGAACAATATTTTTATCGACATTATAATGGTTTCTCTCATTCATGGTTGATATTGTGACTAACTGAATTATTTTTTATAGATATTCAAGAACGGAAGAATATGACAACAGATCTGAATCATCTTTGTCATGGGGCGATGATGAGTTTGAAGGAGAGGCCACAAGACAAGTCGGTGTTCTTTTTGATCAACTGGACTTTCTCCTATATAAAGAAGAGACGACATTTTCTCCCATACCGTATTCTTCAAATTGTAGTGAAACTGGCAGTCTGTCAGCTGGCCATGAGTTAGATATCTCTGTGGGGCCAGTTGAGGATTCAGAGGATTCATCATCATCTGATCTTATTGAAAATCTGACAAGAATAACAGATGCAGCAAGAACACAGGAGTATCAAAGAGATATATTTTTTGATGTAGAAGGAGTAGATCCATCAGATATCTTGTATAACAGTAATCGATTATTAAAATCCAGTCCAGGACTCAGCGTTGGCGAAGCTAATGAACCTACACCAGAATTACAAGAAGAATGTTCAAGTTGGGTGCATCAGTTCCCACATTTCAGGTATGATTACTTTAGCAGTACATGACCACTCCCCCAAAAGTACAACTAGTTTACATGGTAATCTAAAAGAAAGACAAGAAAAAAGTACAGTATGACTCTGTTGTTTACTGTACAGGTACTTTTTTCAACTGTAACCTTAGTTCATATTACCTGTAAAGATAACTTTATATTAGAAATACAAAGTCTATAACACTATACAAGTACAGTATAGTACTAACATGTTCATTCTTATATAACACACAGTTTAAGATCCCATTATAGCTTGGTTAGACTCATAAATAACCTGTTGAGATTGTATACTAGAGAGAGCCTCCGGTTGGGGCAGTGTCATACCTGAATCATTATTTGAAACTTTTACTATCACCTCCTGTTTCCTAGTGAGAGTTATCATGTGATATAATTACTGTATAGCACTTAACAGTAAGTTGTATTGTGTGGGTATTTTAGCACACTGTATTTCCATTGCACTCAATTAACACAATGTAAATTACTTTAAGCAGAACCTAGACAATGAATCAGATATATTAGCTTTCATGTCTAGTAGGTTGCGATGTGTGTTACTTTATAAATTTGTAAGTAATATTTTCAAATTTGATTTCCAGGGTGAGAGGACATTGTCTAAATTTGAAACTGTTAACTTTTCTTGAGGAGCTTGTAGCTGAGGACAGTCTGTGAGTATCATGGTCCTGTGTTTTAATGTGCTGTTGTACTTCTGCATTTTAACTGATTTTATTATATAATTTTTACACGAGTGAGAGTCCATCCCAGAACATCCCCTGGCAGAATTTACCATAGCCAAGAGGGTTCTTTGAATTCTGAGACAAGGACAGTGTTCTGCACCGAGTAATGGAAAGTCGAAGCAACTGTTCACCAATTGAATCGGTAGTTAAAGAGGACACTACCTCCACCATGATCCAGCTGTGGTTTAGCAAGCCTGTAAAGACAGTACAATGGTTCTTGGGACAAATCCCTTGATGGGTCTTATGATTAAACCCATTTAGATGTATAAATCTGGGTCCCTGAATGTCAATCTATACTTTTTCTTCCTACTTGTCAGATGTTACCTGGCTCTCCTGTACAGTACTGCTCAAATCCTGTTGCTCATTACAGAATTCATTCATCTGAAATCTTTTTTTAAATATGTACAGTAATCATGTTTCCCTACTATTACTTGATTGCAGCTTTTATATATTCTTTATACATAAACATAGTAACATTTTATTTGCACAAATTTTTTATTTATTGCCTTATTACTAATTTCTGAATTTCTCTTTTAGTGTCCGGGAAAATTATGAAGAGAAGGAAGAGGAGGTAATTGCCCACGATGGTGACTTTCACCACTTGTTACCTTTAGTTACATTTTCAAGTGCCAATCAAACCAGACGATCTTTTAGTGACGACCCAAAGAGGGAAACCTGCAGCAGTAGAGTGTGTAGTGGATCTAATGACCCTGAAGTGTTAAAAGAGCAAATATTGATAATGCTTTTTGAAAAGCTGTGGTCATCTGTGACAGAGACAATTGAGCCACTTCTACACCAATATGCCAAATATATAATAGAACAATCAGTGCAATACTTGTCTCTATCCAGGGAGCCTAGTACTCGAGGGTCAAGGGTAGGGTCTCACACACCCATAAGGAAAATAAGTGAAGAAGTGATAAGGTCAAACATAAAGTTTCCAAAGCCTTATTATGGTGTTTACAGACCAGTTAGTGGTGAGAGCAATAGAAAATATGAAACAAAAAGACCATCAAGTGGCATCAAGAGACCGTCCAGTGCCGTCAACAGGCTACAAAACACTCAGTCTGCACCAGGCATCCACCAAAAAGAATTACAAGATTTATTGCAAATATCTTCCAAACCTTTACAAAACTGTGAAGATAGAGTGAGACTTCGAACGTCATCAGCCTCAACAACCAGAGAATCTTCAGCTAAGTCACAAATATCTCTCCCATCTCTGGCTACTCCAAGAACTCCTGTGCATAGGCCAGTGTCATCAAAATCCTCCAATCATCTTCTTACTCCTGTGAGAGTGGACGGCCTCACCAACTGTGGAGAACAACGACCTGCAACTACCTCTTCTTATAATGCTCGTGCCAGGTTAGTAGTTTTTGTTACTACTGGACAATTTTTTGTTTAAGTGTTTATAAGGAAAGTGCCTGTGGTGCATTGGCATGGCAGAGGGAGTACAGTAGTGTATGGTATGTTTATTATCCATTTAATTGTTACCTTCTTAGCAAAGCAGGGCCAGGCATTTTTTTTTCCATCCTGCCTGTGTTATTTGTACTGGGGATTGGATTGGGAGATTTTTACCAAACTGAGAAGGTTTGATCATTATGTGTTGTGGTTCACACGATAAACACGTCACAAATCACATCAAAATTGAGCAGGTGTTGCCATAGTAAAGGTTCACACAGAAATAACACTTTTGATCAGTAATTACTGTAATCCAAATAAAGATCTTGTTCAGGGATCTTTTCTTTAAGATGATTTTAGGGAATGTTGACCAATGTGTTTGTTTACCAATTATAGATTCCAAGAAAAGTTTCAACATATGAGTCGACAAGGGACTATTCAGGAGTCTTGGGGAGATAACTCAGGGTTGGATATTGAGGAGGATGCTCTGGAGGTTGCAAATTCTGCATGGTCAAGACACATACCCTTTCTCCCACCTATCGCTGATGGTGGTGATATTTCTAATAAAGTAAGTTTTATTCCATGTGTTTCTCTTATGGTCGACATAATTGTATATCTCTCAGTAGAGTATTCTCATTAAGTCTCTTTCTCCTCCTCACCACTGCCCATACTAATAAATATGGAGGATACATTTTTTTTTGTTTTATGATTCATGTGGAATTACAAATTAAAGCCAAACTATTGAGAAGACACTGCAGCATCCCTGAGGTCACTTGAGTCATCTCCAACCAGAGTATCAGCAAGGATTTGACCTCTGTGCAGTAGTGTAATAAACTTATACTCATCCACTTGTCACATATGACTGTAAGGAGACATTGGGTAAATAGAACAAGTGAAATGTTTTTTCAAAGTAGGGGACCCCATTTTTATACATTTATTCTGTGGTGTGTTATGGGGATTCATGTGGACTCCGGTGACAACAGTCACTGAAACTGAAGTACATACAATATTCTGATTTAAATTTTTCAGGGTAGATCAGTTTTTATTGAATTTAGAGAGAAACAAGTCAGAATACTTGAAAACTTTATACTATGCAGCATATGGTAATGAATCATCAAATATAAGCCAGCAATGGAGTACTAAGAAAGGAAGCTAATTTGGACCTCAGAGATCTTAGGGTTAGAAATCATTTGAATGGCATAACATCTGTGCTGAAAACTTGTGGGTGTATCACAGGAAGACACATACTGTAGGTTAGTAATTTTCAAATTCAAACTTTAATATGTCACTCACTGGAGACATTTATCTTGAATATGAACAGTTAAGCTCCTATAGTTTTCTTTCAGAACATGGTAGGACATTATATAAAAAAAATAAATTGAGGCAGGTACCAAATTTGCCCTGTGCATAAGAAAAGAAATAAATTTGTATTGTATTTATTTTATAATAGGTAGGTAAACAGCATAATGAATTCATACTATTATGTAATGAAGTATCTCAGTGTGTCTGTAGACCTACTGTAAGTTATTGCATCTGTGGCATTACCATTATCAAACTTGGCATATAAGATGATGGTACCCCATGGTGGTTTAAAGGCAGTACAGATCAGCACATGTGGTGCATGATGGAGGGTGAAAGGAGATATCTCTGAAAACTGCTAGTCATTCCATTTCTGACAGTATTAAGAGGAGTTTGCTTTTAAGGAAACCAAAAATAACTGGTGGTGTGCTTTCCTTTATTTAAGTACTATAAAGGATAACTAGATTTCACATTTTTTGTTTGTAGGGAAATGTTGGGAAACAGCCATTGAGACTTAATTCCACATCACGGAGGAGAGATTCATCTACTGAGAGACCACTCAACAGTGTTCAAGATTCTGTGAGTTACTCATATATATTACCTCTGTATTTTATGTGACTAAATAAATTACCACAGGCTTTACCAGTGAGTCTTTATAGAGACAAAAGATTCTAAAAAAAATCATATTTTGAATTTTTAATTATATGTGCATCTTAAGACTGCAATTAGTATGCAACCGGTTCACTTACGGGAGTTAGATGAACTATGTAGATACTGTACCATCATCCACTCAGTTCATGCTGAGTTTTAGATGAGTCTACTGACTGGACTCAACCTTATTCATTGGGACCAAGTGAGGCACTGTACTATAAAGAGATATGTGAATAGATATACATGTATAAACTATTTTTAATCAGAATACAGTACAGTATAAAGAGTCACTGGAATTAAAAGTTGTGAGCTAGTGATGGCTTGTGTCAAGGATAAGAGTTGAAGGTGTGACAGGGACTAATTGAAGAGGGAAAGAGGCGAAAAAAGAGGAGCAGGAATGAATAGTGAAAAGTGTGCCAAGTTTTATGAAGTAAATGAAAATGAGGATGGAAGGAGGAAAGGTACATTGGGAGACTGCAGTACTGTACCATGGTGTAGAGACATAGCTTGATGAAATGCAAGATAAATAGGGGCAGAGAAACAGCATCAGGCACAGTGAAGGAAGATTGCAGAACAAGAGAGAGAGGTGATTTCATATTGGGAGAGGATTTTAAGTGGTGAATAATGCTTTAGTATTACTTCATTGTTACATGTCATTTTGCACCGTAATTTTCTTTGGCAGACATAAAAAATCTCAATCAAAACAAGGCAGTTTGTCTCATATTTTGTGTGTGTGTGTGCTCACACTTTCTAGTGGAAAGGGGGTGAGAAAACACAGTAAGAAATTTGGATAGGTAGGAATTCAGAAGGTTGGTGGAAGGAGGATTATAATTGTGAGTTAAAATGTTAAATGTCATGTGTATAAACGGTACGACACGAATGAACATGTCATATAGGTTGTCCTGTATATGGTATGGAAAAGTAGAGTTAGCAGCACAATTGATCCAAGTTCTCTTCATGTATGCGTAGGAATATTATGAATTAATGTTTATGTCGTGCACTTACGGCAGCAGCAGCCAGAGTCCCCGCTCATGACAGGGGAAGATCTCTCGTTATCCACTCTTAGCGTTAAAGGCACCACCCTGTCGGCTGCACACCGCCCTCATGCTTACACCAGACCTAAAAATCACATATGGGGTAAGAAATCTTATTTTGTTCTTTTATTAAAGCAGTATTAAATAATTTTGTAATATATGTTTTAAGTAATAGCTTTAGTAGTACAAGTAGTGTATTTGAGCAACAAGGTTCTAGAGTTGCTGCTTTGTCATAAATATGGTACAGTAGTGTAGTGATTCAAGTGTGATAATACAGTACAGTACTGTATGTGGTATTTTTTGTTTTTACAGTACTTGCTTTTTCCATTTTATATTAAAAACTTATTAATAACTTTGGTTGTCATAGAAGTAGAGGACACTGGATGAAAAGTACCATAAGCTACACTATACCCTTTCCACGTTAAGCTGGCCCATAAGCCCCGCCCCTCGTCTATAGCTACAAATTGCTGATTGGTTCCCCTGAGCGTTTACCTCCCCCGGACCGTGTGTATATAAGCGCATATTTATATCGACCTTTTACGATAAATATTTAAAAATTTTCTAACCTACTCTCTGAAGTGCCAATGTCAATGCCTATAAATCATCTGCATTTTGATAGCTCAGATAATTATTTAGCATTATTTTAGATGATAACAGGTCTACTTCCCAATTGTGAACACATTTAGTTGGAATTTTCTATGAACCAATCAACTATTAGTATAGAAGAGGGGCTTGGCTTATGGGCCAGGTTAGCGTGAAAATGCTATAGATACATTATCCTGGGCCATCCTACTGTATGTTGGTTACTCTCAAGGTTTTTTAAATTTTCTTTATTTGTATTTACAGGGTAATTATTTTTGCATAAGTATCCTGTGTATTTTTGTGTGAGTGGTGCTGTTAGCTGTCAGTGTACTGTACAGGGTATATGTATTTGTTAGGAACATCGGAATCATTGCTCAAGGATTAAACATTTGCCAGGCTTCCAGCTGTCACTAAAGTGCTTGTAGAAACTTACCCTAATTTTACTGTTCTATATTTTATTTCCTATAAGCTTATCATACCAAACTGTCTTTTCATATTTTTCGCCCTAATCAGACAAAATCAATGACTGGCGTACTGATTTTCGGAATTTGGAGTCCTCTGTTGTCATTTGCAATACACATGGCTGTGCTGCAATAGGTTTCTACTGTATTACCATTGTTTGCATCGATACTTACTAAATAATGAACCTCGGCCTTGTACTATGCTTTTTTGGCCCTTCCACCAAACTGACTATCCATGCAACAAACAAGTTTGCTATATCGTTTTGCAGCTACTCTCCTCCCTCCCCAACACACAAGTCCTTCATGACATCTGCGATCCTTATAATCAGTATACTGTATAAAGCAGCTCCTTGGATGGTAAGTACTAAATTAATTTATGTTTACACTTCTGTACTGTATTTCATTCCTAACCTTGTTTAATTTGGGCTCTTAGGGTCAGTGGTACCCTTTATGTATGTTTATGGTCCTCGGGCCCCAGCATAAGTATACTGTATTGTACATATATACATTACGTACCTGATATTTTGGATTCATAGTCCTGAGGTGCATTGCTCCCATGTTATGTCACTTTTTTTCACATTTTTGTCAAACAATTAGTCCCAGTGGTGTGCAAAAGAGGTTCTACTTTATTTCCAATATTATAATTGCACAAATGCTGTTTGAATTAGCCAAGAGTTATAGAATATACGAGTAAGTAGTAAGCATCAAGAAATAAAATTAAAACAGAAGTTGACAATCCTTAATGTGGTTCTGAAAGTTTTGACTGTGTTGTCTGCAGATTATTATTACTGTAAGCAAGATAAAAGTAGAACAAAGATTTACTTTACAGTATTATTAAATAAGGAGAAGAAAACTAGTTAGATGTATAGGTAGGGAAGAGATCTTTGCATCTAATGCTCAGTCTCTGTGCCTAGGACTGTACTGTAGTTTTATGATGGATGTTTAACTTGCATTGCTGTATGAGTTAACTAAGATAAAACTTTGATGGTGACAGCTAAGTCCTTGCCAGGAATTGATGACCTGGCCCAGGTTTAAACATTAATATAGTTCCAATATGCTTGACTTATTCACCAGGTTTGCCCTGCCAAGTGCTGCAGTTATTTCACCATTTTTCAAGATTTCTCAAAGTCTCCAACTTTTTCATAAGGTGTTCCTTATTGTAGAAGAATTTGAAGGGCACTGGGGGAACCATTATCAGTAGCAAAAAAAAGACCAATTCAAGACAGTGAATAGAACATGGCTACTCATAAGGTCTCAGTTGTGTTCTGGTGTACAATATTCATTACATTGGAAAAGATGAAGGTTTATCTTGAAAAAGGCAAATTTGGGTGGTACGTATAAAGTTAACTGCTTACACTACAGTACATTATTTTCAAATTCAGTAATTGAAAAGCTGGTGAAAACAAGGTTGACATGTACAGTATTAAGTACTGTACTGTATCTTCATATCTGGTGGAGCAGATACTAATTCTAGTAAGCAAACATTACTAACACTTAGTGGTGAGTATTATTTAGTACAGTGCAGTATCTTACAAACACTAAACAGCAAGGTTACCTGAACAGCACAGTATCTTTATGTCATTTCTGACTGGTTAGTATTAAACAAATACATCAATTTATACAGTATATTAATACAGTAATACTGTACAGTATTTTTCTTAATATCAATGTGTTGGAGAAGGTATTAGTGTAAGTAATTAATGTGTTAACATATTCTCTGGTATGTTTCCATTGAACAAAGATATTAATATATTTTACAATATAGATTGTTTGATTTGTTCAATGCAAATGTACTGTACTTGAGAAGATATAAACATACTGTACAGTACTTTATTGTACAGGGTCCCCCAAGTTTGCGGATTTTTACTTCGCGGTTCTTGGTTATTCGCGGATGACACCCTGGATGTACCCAAGAATGTCTGTGGGTAGTTTTAAAGTTGTTGGCATTTTTGCAGCTGGGACAGGGAGCCATTCATTCTAGAGACAGTAATTTCCTTTACCTGTATTGTAAATATGTGTGTGTGTGTGTGTAGACACACACACACACACACACCCACATAAATAATAATGGGAAAATACTTTCACAAATAATCAGAAACAAATTTATTAAAAAGTAACAGTCTACCCTCAAGTCCATTCTCTATTACAGTAGTACTTTATTAATAGAGCACGGACTTGAGGGTAGATTCACATTTTTAATAAATTTGTTTCTGATTATTTGTGAGAGGATTTTCCAATTACGTATTATTTATTTGTACTGTATGTGTTTTGTGTGTGTGTGTGTGTTTCTGCACACACACACACACACACACGCACATACAATACTACAGGTATAAGAAATAATTGGCCAAAGGGCAAACACATAAAGGGAATACCAGTATATATTTCCTTGTACAGGTACACAAGTAAAAATGTACCCTCCCGGTCTGCAAATGTTATTCGCGGATTTGGCGATTTGCGGCCATTTTGAGAACCTAACCCCCGCGAATTTGGGGGGGGGGGCCCTGTACTGTATTTATATTGTGGTCATTGAAGGCAGCCAGGTTACTGAGCTTTATTATGTATTTTAATAATATTTGCCATATATGTCTTCAGTAATCTAGCCTAACAACAGTTAATTTAGGTAGAGAATGTTGTAGCGCACCAAGAAAGGTGCAGTGTGAATGTGGCTTATGGCAGATACATCCAGACTTACTGAAATTATAATCCAAACATATGGCAGTGTTGTCATTGTAGGCCAGAAGCAACTGATGCACTTAATTAATGAGAAGTTAGGTTTAGAAGAGATACACTTAAGACAAGATGAAACAGTCATGTATTTTTCTTTATTGCTGTAGATACCCTGTACTGTACTGTAAACTGTATGTCTTCAGTTTAAGCGACTTTCAAACACTCCCTCACATAAGGTTAGTGTTTTATGAAGAGTGATTTAAAGAGTAAGGTCTCAGTACGGTACCTTATATTTCTTAGCCTCAGGAATGCGGCCAGTTGAACCATTCTTGTCATGGGTAGTGCAACATGTTGACAGAGAAGCTCGCTCAGTAGGGCAAGATGAAGACCTGCCCGTCAAGAATGCTTTTGTAAATGAGGAAAACAAAAACTTGTGTATGAGGCGGACTAAACATTTTAGAAGGTTAGAAGCTTGTGCTTCTTTTTCAGCCATAGTTGATGCTGTAGTACAGTAGCTAAGCATGTTCAATATGTTGCATGTCACTCTGTTGCATCCCTTGTGTAGTGTGTGATTGCATGTACAGTACCATATACAGTACAGTATTATTATATTTATATTTTGTACAGCCTATCTAATTACCATGTGTCCAGGAAGTTTCCAGACCAAACAGAATTTTCCATTTAAAGTTAGAAAACTTCAGGAGTAAAATATCTGGTTAAGGAAGACTTCTATCTGGCTAAGGGAAAGTTTCCAAGTACGTACACAGTAACCAGAAAATTCCCCGAACTCAACTGGCTGCCGACCACTTTGTCTGGCAAAGAAAATCACTGTATCTGCATGTGTTTTTCTTCTTATGTGTTTGTATTGAACAGAAATATTAATAAAGTTTCAATATACAGTACAGAACAGTATAATGATTTATGGATAGGATAATACCAATCATATATGAAGTGAGCGGTGAAGCCTTAAATGACATATACAGTACAATACATACTTAATGAACTATTTTAGTACATTACTGCATATGACTGTCTTTAGCGGTGTGATTGTATTCACAGAAATGGTAATTAAAACAGTAAAATACTATTTTTGTCCCATAAAAGGGATATTAAGGATCACATTTTTTTATTAAACTTAAAAAATTACTCATACTAGGTCAGAATGATCATATTGCACAAACGCATACAGTATACACATAAAAATTTGCACACTTTTGGCATCCTTGGTGAGAATGTGCTGACCTGCCCGTAGGGAAAGCAATAGAGACAGGCCACCAGACTTTTCCTGCAGCACTGCAATTGAATGGGTGAAGAAATGGATTTGTGAGAGAGTTACAGTACTGTATGATTTAATTTGGACTGTTTATAGTTGGTGGAGTACCTCAGTGGTGTAGATGGAAAAGTATTATACTGTATAAGAATTTTTACAGAACAGTTACTCTATATATTTTTTTAATTATTCTTCATTGTTGTCATCGAGTAGACTTGTGAATTGCTATGCTGTACTATGAAGATGGGGAGGGAGACATAGTTGATCTGTATATTTTAAAGTGAATGAAAAATCCAGATTTTTCCTTTATGCATGACAAGGACACTTCATACATTTTTATACAGTAGAACCTCTCTAGTTATCACACCTTTGGGGCTGACTTTTTGACAAACATTTAAGCTTTTAAACTAAATTGTGACTTATAACACGGGTGCAGTGGACCTTAAGACCGTGAACCCAATATATCGGGTATTGTACCAACAATAGTTATGTTTGGACCCAAAGATCATTTAAACAAAAAAATCCACACAAAATGTACCACTGAACCCAAGATCTCATATATAATGTAAATACAAGGTTAGAAATGAAACATTACTGTAGTGTAAATATAGTACAGTATGCTGTAATTAATTTCATTCCTCACCATCCAAAGGAGGTGGAGCATACGGTACATATATGAAGTACCTAAACAATTCGAGGCATCTTGAAGGGCTTGTTTATGGGGACATCATGGTTGCGAGAAGTTGTGGTGCATGGCTACTTAGTCTGACAGGAGAGAGCCAAAATATTCACATTACAAAACTGAGTTTCAGTACTTGTTTTGTATTGGTGAGAACAATGCAATACCACTCAAGCAAAAACACACGAGCTAATAATACAGTAAATCAATAAATATGTACTGGCTACTGAATACATAAATACCTGTAAATACAATACTTGTATGTACTGTACTGTAGCTGTTAATACATAAATCAATTAAATGAAGATGAAATACCTGTAATACTAAATAATTTGATAAAAAATCTTTTGAGAGTAACCTAAATAGGGTGGCCCAGTGTACAGTATCCCAGTGATCTATGACTAAACCAGTTGGTTGATGATAAAGCTTCAGGAGAGGAATTACAGCTCCTGCCCGACTTACGACCTACCGGTACTCGACTTACTACCACCCGGACGTACGACCGCCTCAGTCATACCAAAATTTTGTCAAATTACGTATTTTCGAGTCCCAACGTCAGTGATTGTGCTGTGTACTGACAAAATTTTCTTTTGTAATTCATTTTAAAATGGCTGGCAAGCTTAAAAGTGAGAGTTTTGTGGTGCTGAGGTGAAAAAGAGACACCCAATTTAGATTTTTCTATGTATTATTTAAGCATTTTTGACTTACAACCTGAATTTGGGTCCCTAACCCCGTCGTAAGTCAGGGAGGAGCTGTATCCACAAACTCTAAATTTATGGTAATTATCAAGATGACAGGTGCTACTTTATCCTTTCTTTGGTTGAATATTTTTACCAATGTTCATTTGTAGAAATACTATAGTATACAGTATATTAAAAAAAAATATTTATTTATACAGGTATACAATAGTTAGATCATATGTGAAATACTTTTCCAAATGGAAAACTAGAGAGGTTCAACTGTATTTATCTGTGCACCATGTTGATTCCTATAAGCATAATTTATTTTATTTTTATTTAAAATATAAGCCTCAATTATTTTTTAAAAATTACTTTTTTGTGAGTGTTTACAGTGTATCTTAAACTAGCGAATGTCTACCCCACTAAAGGTCAAAGCCTCAGGTTAAAGAAGCCAGTTCAAACCAGAATTACAGAGGTAACTCTTGGAATAATCTGCCAGAGTGTTGTGACAGCACTGAGTGTGAAGTCATTTAAGACTAGACTTGACTAACACTGGCACATATTCAGGTACATACTACAGCCACTACGTGCCCAGTACTGCCAACAGAGACGTGACTGACCTCCCAACTGGCTTGTTTATAGACCTTCATTTGACACCTCAAAAGGTCACCTCCCTCCACAATAAATTTTCTTAACATTATAAGGGTTGTTTATAGGATAATGAAAATGGGTCCCTTAGGCCTAACAACTTTATAAGGCCAGTGTGAATACAGCACAGTATTAATTCCTTGGTACACAAGGAGGCAACATGGCCAGTACTGCACTCAACCGCCCTCACTTCTCCAACTGTAAAATTAGGAATCCATTTACAGCTGGGTGGACAGGGAGTGGCCCAGGATCAACCCAATGACCCTTAAAACCAGAGACAAGCATTGTGTCCACTCATCTCCCAACTACTGCACCCCAATAGGGTATTAGGCTGTTTTACCCCTACTTATTCCTTCCACAATCAGCTCATATTTCCAATTACTGTACTAAGTAAAATCATTACTCAGTTCTTCACTGATTTCATTAAATGTTTTATTATCTTGTTCTGATTACCATTCTGGCAATGTTTCTAATTTTATTCACTTTAAATGGAGTTTCACTCCAGGTGTCTCATTTGCCACTGAAGTCTTTTGCCTCAACATCTTCAGCGTAACTCTTAGGAATTGAATGAATTAACTCTTGTTTACTTGAGGCTGTGGATCTCTGACATCCGGCAGGTAATATTTTACAGTAATGGGGTACCAATTAAAATCTAAGAATAATTATAAATGAGGATAATAGAAAATCCTTCTACTGTACTATAGGTACAGTATTTGGAAACAATATACTGTATGTGTGTGTTGTTTCACTCTGAAGGTGGGGAAGAAACACGTGATAATGAGGATAATATAATTGGGGATAAATTTACTGGGTGGTGTGGTGATGGTGTTTATTATTGTAAAAAAAAAAAAAAAGACTGTAGCACTTATCCCCTTGTGTGTGGGTCTCTCTCTCTGCTGAATTAAATCATATAGCATTAGCCAAATAAAATATTAAAAGTGGCATCCCCGTAGTAAGGGGGTCAATGTTTCATCACATTTTGTATAATAGACAAATTAATTATGTTTTATCTTTTCAGTGTTGGAAGCCAGATTTGAAAATGAGAGATTTTGATATGAAAGTCTGTACCTGCAGCTGTATCTGTACTATCAAACCTTCCATTTTAACTTTCATATTCCCCTTTTTCCTAATATTTAAAGTGAAATAATTATAAGTCACCTTTTCTTACAGGTACTTCCATCACTGAGGTCGGAGGAGGCCAGAAACTAATGCGCCCTCATCAGAAATGAAAATGTAGTTGATGAAGCCATTACGATATTTGTACTGGATATGTGGTTCCTAAGATGAGTGTCTGTGAGTGCATTAATATAAGCCTTGTCATAATGGTGGCATTTATGTGATATACATTAACATAGGCATAGTCACATTAATATAGGCCTACCATAGTCATTATGGTGGCATTTATATATCAAGAAGACTATAAGCAAGAATTTACATGAGCAAGAGATGGGTGAATCAATGACACTAGAATAAGTCAAGTGTGATGAGCAAGTGTTGGCGTTCAGAAAGCCATTGACAATAAATTAAAGTAATTCATTTCGTGCGTATACGTGTATATTTTTTCATAGCTAGGAGAGTAAAGCATTTCTGTCTTTAAACTCTTAGACTTTTCTAATGATGTTCTACTTAAGATAAGGACTGTAAGAGCTGAACATTATCCATCTGCTGAACTATAGAAACTCAGTTGGCTTTTGAACAAGTGTGGTGAATAATTGTGCATGAAATGAATATAATTCGTGATTTGGGTAAGTCACTCGTAAGAAACCATATTGACTTATCTTCATAGGCCTAATTGTGTATAACAGGACACCACGAGTATTGCCTCTTAGTAATCAAAATATAACAGTAAAGAGACTGTCCTGGAACAAATATAAATAACTGCTGGAAATATAAGACAACTAGTGACTGCTTCTGGAATGTGGAATTATAACTTCATTATTAGGAATTGATTGTAACAAATCCTATTAATTGATTACTGGGTATTTACCCCGAAAAAAATCATTTTAAGCATGAAAAGAATCACTAAGTGTAAAGTGGGTTGGGATATGCAGTACAATACTTATAAATTCCTAGGGCTGTAAAATAATATAGCAGCCTGTTTTGTCCTGTGCCTGTATAGAGTCAAGTCAGTAGAGTTTTCTAGTTCTCTACTGGCATGGAAATAATATCTGTAGCCATTAAGGAAAGACTTCATTTCAGCAAATAACCAAAATATTTATTATTACAGTTAGGATGTAAATGAAACACAATTTTTTGTACTATAAGCATTTCTCATATATCTTTAGTATACAGTATAGTAGTTGCTGAGCTCATCTTATTCATTGAATTTATTTTTTATTTGTGGTATACTTAAGGTTTTCATGTATTGAACCAGAGGGACCTTACAAGGGACGTTATAGTTATCTGTCCAATTAGAAATCAGATTTGGTTTTCTTGGGTGGATTGAATAATCTCCTTTGTAGTTTACAGGATATCAGAGGGTGACCCATGAAGTATATCAGTACACTGAACACCTGTGACAGTGCCATCCACATTAGAGGGTATGATAGTTCATCGGTAGGAAACAATTTCTTAGTGAGAATGCTATTGTTTTGAAACAGCTCCTTACTTAGTTACATCAAATATCATATAAGATATCCAGTGGTGCTATGGCTACCTTTAATGGTGAATGAGGTATCTCAGCCAGGAGTGAAGAATTCTCACCAAACAACTTATCTCAAAGTACCTTTTAACTGTAATTGTAGTTACAATATTCAGGAGTCCCTCCTCATTCCCTGCAACTCAGATGAAAGAGCAACACTAAAACCAGTGTTCAGGAAATCCCTAGATCAAAGTAAAGGACATAGAGACTGAAAATCAGCCAACATCACCCTAATATTCAAGAAAGGTAGGAGTGGTACAGAGAACTACAATCAGCTTGATAACAATATGTATGTGCAAATTCTTGGAAAACCTGACAGCATAATTTTGTTCACACTCCTAGATATGGTAATAGACTACCTGGCCCAAGGTTTACTATGCATCACTGGATACCTTAAAAGACTAGGTGTATTTGGGTGAGGAGCTGTTTACAGTACAGTATATAATTGCTTTGTTTCCCTGTATGAGGCTTTCTGTTCATTAACTATCCTACGTCTGTGTGGTGATATAACTCATAGGTCACCCTCTAAAACCCTCAGCTATAAAAGTGTACAGTATTTCAAAATTCAATCCTCTTATTTATTTATTTTTTAATTTGAGAATGGAAACAATCTCAATCATGATTTTTTTGTTTCTCTTTTTTTTTTTTACTGCAATTGATATTGGGTCTTGGTTTGCAATACATGGACTTTTTTTTTTTAAGCTGAGGATGGAGCCAAGTGAGACCAATATAGTTTACTTCAGAAATTTTTCTGTAAACCTGTTGAATCTGTCTATGAATACCTTGGCACAGTCAAATGTATTCAACTTCAAAATATGAAGGCAGCAACTGATTAGGGATCTGTAGCTATTTTAGGTCATTGACCAGTATGTTAAGAGTGTGTACAGGTTGTACCTCTCTAGTCCAGCATTCTGTGGTCCGGAACGATTTTAGTTTGTCCAATAGGTAGATAGGCAGCTTGCTTTTTTTTTTTTTTTTTTTTTTTTTATCTGAATTATTATTATTACAGGAGTATTAAATTTTTGCCCCTCAGGCCCCAATGTGGGTCAGTGAGTTATGCCTGGGTGGGCTAATCCCCTTAAAAAAAAAAAGCCGCTGGAAATTAAGGTTTGTTTACATCCGGCAGTTCGGCTGCTCTCTCTCTCTCTGTCTATACAGAGTACAACATTTTACCCTTCAAATATATATGAGCAGTAAATAAGTGTTGCTTTCATATTCTTATGTAGAGTAATGACGATATGTTTTCACTTGTGCGCACTTACATACGCGCAGTCTCACTTTTTTTTTTACCATTAATGGTTAGCTACTTATATTGTTCCATTTATTAACATTAAATAACATTACAGGTACAGTACTTCAAACAACCATATTAATTTTTCTACATTAATTTTACTACAGCTAAAATCAGGGTCTTATTTTCTTCAGTTTTATATGTAAAACCAATCAGTCACTGGTTTTGTAAGCTTTAACATAAACAATGCCGGCAGCCGTCTCGTCTCCTCTAATATTCCACGTATTATTAATAAATTGTATTGTTAATTTTGCACACACAAACATTAATTCAATAAAAAGAAATTCAGAAACATTAATTAGAATATATATGAACAGTAAATAAGTGTTGCTTTCATATTCTTATGTAAAGTAATGACGATATGTTTTCACGTGTGCGCATGCGCACTTACATACGCTATCTCTCTTTTTTCTTTACCATTATCGTTAGCTACTTCTATTGTTCCATTTATTTCCATTTATTAACATAAAATAACATTACTTAAAACAACCATATTGATTTTACTATAGCTACAGCCAAGGTCTTATTTTCTTCAGTTTTATATGTAGAACCAGTCAGTCACTGGTTTTGTAATCAACAAAAACAATGCTGTGTCATTTCCTCGTGTGTTTCAATATTCTACGTATTATTAATGAATTGTATTGCTCATTTTGCACACATAAACATTAATTCAATAAAAAAGACATTCAATAATAAACAATAATGAATCTTTTGTACACAAGAGAAATGACACTGTTTACACGATTATGCACGTTGGCGGGCCGTTCAAACCCGTCGAAATTCAAGTTTCCGCCGTCAAAATTTTTATTTATTTATTTTTTTGTGTTCCAATAAAATACGTTAAGAATTAAAAACTCGCGAAATTTGAGAAGCTACTATACGACATTTAACCCTTCAATATGTCTTCAAAGAGACCATGATGCAGAGAAAGTGGTGCTAGTGCTTCCAAGCATAAGCACAAGTCACTATCTATCCAGGAAAAGGGTGAATTTCCATGGTCCGGCAATTTCCATGGTCCGGCACCGGTCAGGTCCCGAGGTTGCCGGACTAGAGAGGTACAACCTGTACTAGTTACTTGGGTGATGTTTTATAATGTGATAGCCGATCCTCATGTTTGTTAATACTATACTATAAGAAAAAATATATAATGAACCTTATGACTGTTAATCATTTGTCTTCTTTAATTTTTATTTTATATGTGAACAAGGTGAAACTTCTATACCCTGTATGTATTATATTACTGCCAGCGGTACATGGAGAAAATATCAGTCAAAGTTGTGAGCATTGTAGAGATAATTAGTAATGGAAATATAAATGAAACGTTTGGCATGCCAGGGGCGGATCCAGGGCGCTTCTGGGGCCTAGACCCCCCCCCCCCCCATTTCATTAGAAAATGACAATACTTTTTATTCAATGCAGTATTGTACTCAGGCATTTTTGTAAAGTAATTACTATTGACCTCAGAATATCTCCTAATATCAAGTGGATATGGCTTCAAAATGGCCTGTACTCCTCACTACTTAGCAGTAAGGAGCATGGGTGGAAGGCAGGTGTAGTAGTTCATCTAACCAGTTTATCTAAATTACCCATAACTAATTGAGAGTCTAAACACCTTGTTTATTAACCCCGCCCTCTGATGACATCATTAACAGAACCGCACAACACCATTGAATCGATACATATGAACGAAATCTCGATTCAGGCCTTGAACATTGAATTAAGTAAATAATTAAGCTTCATAAAATTAAGGTTGTTATTATTTTGTTAGTTATTCAGTAATATTGTTTGTTTGTTAATAAAGTGGGATTCAGATGGTTGATGGTTCAGTATGGGGGAGTCAGGGTTTCATTTACACGTCTCGAAGCTTTAGTGACGTTATACAGTACCTGAGGTGGTGTTACAGCTGACACACGACTGTCTCTCTCTGTATCAAGGAAGATCTTGAACCGCTTATCTTTCCTCAACATCAATCTTATCTTCTAACTGGGCATGACTTTGAAATGGGGAAAATTGTGGGGTTTAAAATATAATACTGTACAGAAATTAAAGAAAACATTTATGATATTGATTTTGAATAAAAATATGGTTATGGGTAATGTGAAAAGTGAGGGAATAAGTGTCGGAACCCGCTTTTGTTTTATCCGCGATTGAATTCAAGACTATTTTGATATCATATACTGTACTATCGTTTGTATTTAATGTTTTATTTAACTCGTATATTCAATGTTTTATACCCTTTTTAAGGGAAGAACTCGATAGATATAACGGGTTTACAGTCAATTGAAGAAGCACATAAATTCAATGTACTGTACTGTACTGTGTACTGTAATAGATACTTCATCGGCTGGTACTGTACGTAATTCCTTTACTCACTCTTCTTTAATGTCATGTATTTTCCGTTACTAACATTGAAAACTAATGATATATGTTTGTCACCTTTTCAAAGATGCAGTTAATGTAGCATTCTTCATAAATGTATACCGGTACTTACTCTTAATGTTACAGAGTAGTGTTACATCAGAGTTATAACAATCGTCACACAATTGAAATTGGTAAAAGGAAGAATGAATACATAACAAGGTTAAAAATTTATTTAAAACTCATTATTACAAAGAAAGAACTGTACAAAAATTGGAAGATGAAACTTAAATTTTTCAAATTCACTTTTTCATTTCTCCATAAGTGATCTTGTATTACAGTACAGTTTATGTATTACAATAATTATATTAGTAAAGATCCTACAGACAAATTACAATATTTAAGAATACAGAGCTAAATTGAACCTTTCCTATTATTTTCTTTATTATAATTCAAATAACTGGCATTATTGTCATTATTGTTATTTTTTCAGTGAAATTGTCACTCCAGTAGTTGTTATAATGTACAGGTATTGGTTTGAAAATACACGGGGAAAAATATTCACAGAATTCAAAAGCCTATCCTTATCTAAAAGAAATCAATTAGGCAACCTGCTACCCATTACACAACTGGTCCTGGGGATTTTGTTTATAGCACATTTCTTTCTTGATCAAGGGACGTGTGTACAGCACAGATGCTGTTAGTCTGGGGTTAGACGAGGCCAGAACCGGCTAGGTGGTGGGTGGAGGCACTTCCCTCCAGGTCAGCTATGAGGGTGACGTAGTCTACCAAGTCAAGGTGGCGTCGCAGCCCCTGTTCCAGCGATGCCTCATCCACCTGCACCACACAAAACCGTCAGGCTTAGACAGCTGCCATGAATATAACTGCTAAATTTTTTTTTTTGTAGACTACTTGAACCTAACCTAACCCAACGTATAAGCCAACACCTCGAGAGTTGTTTTGGTTAGGATAGTTTAAGTTACCGGATAGGTTTCTTTTTGTTTGGTTATTTTAAGTTTAGCTTTGTTAAGTATTGATATTGAAACAGTTTATTTAGCCAGAAAAATACAAAGTGGACAATAACAACAACAATGAAATGGCTGAGCCAAGTGAGAGCCTGAACCTTCATAGTGGGTCCTGTTATGTACTGTACATTTATCTCAAGGAATTAATATTTAACATTTAATACCATATGAATTACTCCATGTAACATGGTGAATAAGTTATGTTTGGTTAAAAATTAAGTTAGTACACAAGCTGAGTGATTCACTACACGAGGCAACTCACTGTATTAGGTGACAACACTAGGTGACTCATTATACTGGGTGACTACACTAGGTGACTCACTGTACCGGGTTATTCATTATATTAAGTGATTCAATCAGTGGTTCACTATACAGAGTGACTAACCTGACATGGGAGGTTGTCATGTATGTGAGGTCGGTGACGCCAGTCGAGGTCAGAACACAGTCTCTCATACTCCACTTGTCCATCCTGTTGTGTCACGCTGAGTGAGGAGGGAAGGAAGGTGAGACACAGGTCATGACCACTCTCAGTAGTCACGCTATGATAATCTTTATGATAGAAATGGATCACGTGAAGATTACCCCCCCCCCCTTGGTTATTTCATCTAATAACTAAACACCCTAATGCTAGCCTAACTTAACCTAACCCCCCTCAGGTAAAGCTAGGGTGTTTAATCATCAGGTGATATACTTTGGAGCTAATCTTCAAGTGATCTGAAATATAAAAAAATAATGTGATGTGACACAAGATTTTTTGGAGTAATTTTTAACCTCTTGCACATGACAAGTTAACCCCTTGAGTACAATGTTATCATATTTAAGAGTAATAAGGCATTATATTCAGAACATTAAACTTATCTTTCTCTTATGGTTAAGTCACTGTATGGGATTAAGATGTCTCACCTACTGGATTAACTCACTATGTAATCGAGGCGTTAACATAATACTGATGACTAATTCCCACGGAAGCCACTCACGACTGTACCTCCGCTGAGTCACACAGGTGGAAAATGCTACCAGTGTCGTGTTGTGTAAAGTCACCACTACTTACGTACTGTCAAGGGGTCAGCAGGGCATCTGAACAATTCTGCAATTATCTTTTAAATTGAAAGTAAGTTTGAGATACATTTAAATGATACAGTACAGTACAGTACAGTATACTGTATAGGTTAACGTGCCACCTCTATGATGCCGCCAGCAGATGAAGATGAGTGAGTTCATACACTGGACCTAAACCTGTCACTTGTACTCCCACTTCAGCATCACCATTTTTAATTTGAATGTGAGGTTATGAAAGACAGGACAACAGTTGAAACTGTCGGTGAGACAAAGGTGTGACTCACCTGGTAACAAGGGCATCGATGAGGGTAGTGGTGAGGGGCGGATGGATGGCCGTGAGGGCTGCCCTCACCATGCTGGCCGGCAGCCGTCCACGACACTCCACGTCACGCCCACGAAGGCCTGAGCTAAGATCTTGCACCCCTGAGGATGTTGCCAACATTGACTTAAGGGACCTACACATCAGGAACAAGAGTGCCTTTACACACTCCAGACTCAGCAGCAAGAGCGAGTCTCTGAACTGCTCGTTGACCCATAGATGGCGCTGTAATATCTAATTAGTTTGTAACAATTTCAAACAGGTGCGTAAAGGATCTTTTGTTCATGGTTATTTGTCACTTTTTAACTTGATTACAGTATTTCTTGAAAAACGTCACAGAACACAACAACTGGTCCAAAATTTCCTTAGTTCCTCTCTATTTTGTTGACCTTTACTACATACTAATGCAGGCACTTGTCACTCCTACAGCTCAGACACCAGTCACTCATCTACACTGTTACCCCTCTAGAGCTAGAGTCATCCGTCACCGTAAGACAGTGTAAGTACTGACCGTCAAAGTTGTGGCGCTTGAGGTGGAGGGCAGCGAGGTGTGTGAGGTGGTTCTTGGAGAGTGGGTGAGGCTGAAGGCGGCGGTGACGGCGGCCCAGCGTGGTCACTTGCTGAGTACTCAGGGGCGACCCTCCTGTGGCAGAACACAAAACCTTTAACTACCACTCATCTATGTACCGTAAACATTCTGCCTTGTCCACTGTGTTAGCTGTGTCAGTTAATCGTCCGTAATGAAGTTAGGACTTTAGGTGATCCTCGGAAAAATGCATAAACAAACGGACGTTAGAGGCCAATGATCTTAAGATTTTTATCTGACTTTTGTACTCTTAAAGGAGATACAATACTTATGTCATATGGATATCTGAGCCCTCATGATTCTTCTTGTAGAATATGGCCACAAATAAACGATGCAGCAGATGACAAAATATGTGGGAGAGTTATGCAGTACAGTTTGTGCTTATGAGTGGGCAGAGAAAGTCAGTCACTCACCGATTCATGGTAAATTACAATAAGTGTGGAAATAAAACTTGAAAAGACTGGTAGTATTCTAAATCTGAGAAAACTAATATAGTTTGCGGTTTGATTGCCAGCGATAAATAGGAAAGATCTTGTAGACAACTGTGAAGGATAAGGCAAACTTATATTGTGACAAGTTCAGTAACATTTGTTGTTTCATTTATTGTTTTACACATTAATTTATAAATATATTCGGTAAAGTATACAGCTACACATAATTCGAGCTCTATGAAAAACGTCACACCATCCAACATAAGTACACGTTTACCTCGGGGCAATACGTATATCTTTTATTAAAGTTCAGTTTAAAATGAACAGATTTGCTGATTGTTTGTTCTGACAGCACACTAAACTAAACTAAAACATTACTAGTGAAATCTGTTGAATCGAGGTGTTAACTCACTGAGCGCAGTGTTGAGGGCTCCCAGCACCACCGAGGTGGGCACGATGCCCTTCCGGTCTGGGTCATAGGTAGTCATCTGGCGGAGGAGGTCAGTCAGCTGGTGGTGACCCAGACGGCGTCGAGCCTCGTCCAGCGCCACGTTGTAGTTGGCTTGTGGGAACTGATGGTAATAATGTTGACAGTAACTAGGATGTAGTTCTCACTGTTCTGGGGAATATAAGGTGTGATACAGTGGGTTTCAGGATGGTTTGTTTGCTCGTGTCATCTACCAGATTGTGGGGGTGGAGTAAAGGACTATAAACAATACAAGTATATTATCCTTGGCTAGGGTGACGTCCAGAATTTTGATAATAATTTTTGGAACAACTTAGGTCTTTCACCGAATAACAAAGTTAGTAATTACACCAATCCATCAACAATTATTGATTAAGATAGCATTCCTTCGTACGGTTCAAAATTAGATTATACAAGTTACTACAGTGGTTATGATTTTTCCCTTTCATTTTACTTCATAAAGCTTATACTTTACAATAAAAAATAATGATAAAATTTTATTTGTAATAGTTTAATAATAAGAGGTGTATGTATACAAGTTTGTATACAATGTGTACACGTATGTATACAATGCGTTTTGACTTCCATCTTTCATTTCAGATTCCTTGCTAAATGCACCAGTACTAATTTCACACGAAGTCGGCAATCAAAAATTATCTATAATTATTTAATAAAGGCATAATATAATTTCTATCTTATATTAAGTGTTTTGTTTGCACTCAAGAACCGCTGCGTGCTGCACCCAAATTATCATCTCAGCATTTTGAATTTGTGACGTATTGGCAGGGAGGAGGCCATCACTGAGTCAAGCACCAGTAATTGGTAAAAAAAAATTGCAAGTTGGTCTCCAAAGACTTTTCTTTCTTTTTTTGGGGGGGGGGGAGAATGAGTATCAGCCAATCACAAAGTTGATCTGCTTGGTGTTGCCACATTCGACCTCTATACAGTAATTATGTTTCAGTATGTTTTGAAGGCTTGTGGTGAGTGGGTGGGTGAGGCCTAAGGAGTCAGTGCGCAAATTATTTGTGACGTGCCGACGTAATCAAACGTTTTATTCATAATATTACAAGAAAACGAGTGCAGTAAGTGCGATGGTTGCTCACAATTAAATTCTTGGCGTTATATTTTTCAGCTAGCAGTAGTGATAACAAGAATTCTGTCTGCTTGGAGGCACAATTGTACATTTCTCCCATGCTCTGCTGTACCCCAGAAAGAGTAGAAGGAACACCCTGAATAGGTGAGTACAATACTCCAAACAAAAACTAGCGAAGTAGATATCGTAGTTCTAGTATTCTAAGTGTTCTCTAGTGGTATTCAACTAACCTGTCATTAGTGTTTTAGGTTAGGTAGATTTGTTCTGGTGTTATTTTGTTATTAACAGTTCGTATGGAAAGTTCAAAAGGTTGCTTAGTGCTATAATTCATTACTGGCGAGTGGCGACGTCTGCGCCGAATTTCCTCGTAAAAAATGCTACACAAAAACAAAAGGAAGCTGCAGTTGCTCCAAAAAATTATAATAGAAAGGTAAAAATAAGAAAAGAAAGAAAGACTTTTGTCCTAAAGTAGCTCATAATAACACGCGCTGTTGTAAACTATTACCCCTATTGTAGTGGACGTGTGACGGTGTACTCTCCCAGTTAATCTCGTTTTGCAAGTGTCTATATTCGACCCCCCCCCCCCCTCGCCTTTTTTAAATATTAAAATAACGCATAAATAATAACCGAAGATTCATATAAAAACAGAAAATCAATCGAAGCATCCCAGATTAAGTGTCATTAAGCAAATTTTTAATAGATTGTTCTGGAATAACGCCGCCACAGGAGGCCACACAACGACCAAGGAAGATATAGAAAGGAACTATTTCTTTTGAGGACTCCCAGTTGATCCCTAGTAATGATAAAGCTCCCCTGCAGATGTCTCTCCCGCCATTGGCACGTCGTCAGTTTGTTTACGTTCGTCATGTAGGATGGGGGGCCTATTCACTCCCTTTTTATACTCATATTTTGTTGTAAATGTGTATGTGTGACAAGGTGACAATAGCCAGATAATTTTTCAACCATCAATATGTGGCTATTTTTTTTTTACACATTTACTCACCTAAAACTTGTCAGATTAGTGGAAATACATAGAGTATATCATACTCGTATATTTATTCAATTGGATGCTAAGAATAAAAACATATTCAGCTTATGACAGGAGTCTACCTTAAAGACAAGATCGTACTCTAGACAGCTACACGTTTTCGAGGGCATTAGTGCCGTAAATAGTTAAAATAGTTATGGTAAAAGTAAAATTCGTTTTCTTAAGCACTACGTTTTCTATGAAAAGGGAGCTTCTCGAGAGATGGCGCAGCAGTCAGTTCTTTATAATATCTTGCAAACGACGCTATGCAAGTGGCATGTTGAAAAGCACTTCATTTCCGGAAAACATTAGAGAACTGTTTTCATGCTTAAATGAAGAATTTAAAGGAAGGATCTTATGCCAAATAGGATTACTTTCTCATAATCCTGTTAGATTGCTAAGATACATAAATAACATGTGGCCCAGTAAAATATTGTTAGCATCTCTATATCAAGGATAATGGGTACAAACATCAACCCAGAGGAAAGTAGACATACTGTACCTCATCGGCGTGTGTCTCCATATAGTTTAGGGTGAACTCGTCGGCATGGGTGAGGTGGAACACGTGGGAGTTGAGGGCGATGGTGGCACCTGCGTACAGGTCCTGGCCGTTAACATGCCCTCCGCCTCCCGGACCCACCACTAGGCCTCGTCCTAGGAACATCCCCGCCCTCATACCTGAAAGTATATAACATTTACCAACACCTGGGTTACACAGGGAAGGATGGAGCTGTGGTGATGGTGGGGAGGTTTGTCATTTCTTAGTATATTGTTCACATTCTGCCTGAGGTTCTTATCATTTCTTGTGGTGTGAAGGTCGTTTATTACAGCAGTTTGTTCCGTATCTGTTGGTGTGCTGCTCGACTTTCATCTCTTACAAGTACCCATAAGCTTCTTTCACAAGTCGACTTCTCTTGTTAATGTTGTTAAGGCTTTATACATTGACAGTATTTGTTCTTCCAATATTAAGTGCGCTGCACTTGCTGGTGTTGAATTTCATTTGCCATTTCTCTGACCACTCCTTCAGTTTATTTAAATTCTCCTGTAGTGCATTTGCATCCTCCCCTGATTAATCTGCTGCCCTACTTTGGTGTCATCCGCAAACTAGCTTGTCACTGCTGATTCCAGTATCTAGATCGTTTATGTAGATTAAACGAATTCCCATTCCGGGAATCGAACCCCGGCCTCCTAGGTGAAAGCCAGGTATCCTAGCCACTAGACCACATTGGATATAAAGCCACTAGACCACATGGGATAGAGCCACTAGACCACTTTGGATTGTTGGAACTTGGATTGGGCTTGTGGATAATTTTATTATTATTAGGATGTGGTCACTGGTAGTTTATGGTCCCTGTTTTATATGGTAATTGAGGAAAGCCTTGTTTTGGGTGAAGCTTTTGTCTGGGGTTGTTTAGCGTACGGGAGGTGGGTGGTGAGGGAGTATCTAGTGTGATAATATTGTAGTAAACAGCAACCACAGAATTTCGGAAATTCACAACATTCAATCGATAGAACTATTTTTTCTCTGATCATTTTCTTATATTACACTTCCGTCGCAAATTTATAATAAGGAACTCTGGGTTATTACATAACATCTTGGGGTCCAGGGGCGAAGCCCCCGGCTAGGGCCACCGGGGGTCCGGGGGCTGAGCCCCCGACTTAGGGGGTTCGGTAAGGTTTAGTTAGGTTATATTGCATAAGTTAGCAAGCACAGAGTACCGGGAATTCAGAACACGCAATCGATAGAACTATTATTTCTACTATTTTTTCGTAAACAGAATTTCTGTTGCGTAATGTGTTCTTCTGATGTTTCCTTGTTGCGATTCGGACAGTTTGGGAATTCGCTCCTGCCACATATCACTCGTTTTGGCTCTACCCCACCCAGAACCCCGAATCCCCACGCCTTCCCCCATTATTGTTAGGGGGGGGATAAATCCAAAACTAGTGATTTCCGATAAGACGAATGTCAGGTTTGAACCAATCGCATCAAAAACCATCAGAAAAACACTTTTTATCAGATTCTATGTTTGCTGTAATCTGCAATTTCACCTCTTGCGTCATGTACTGTACTTTATGGAAGGGAATCACCAAGGCACTGAACACGTACCAGAAGTTTGGTGAGAATGTTCAAATTACAGTTTAATTGTCAGAAAGTTCAGTACATTGTAAAGGACATCAATGGAAAATAAGCTTGTAATGACTATGATTTTTTCTACTTGTCAGCTTACTAGCCAGTCTTCCAGTCAGTAAGTTAACTGTTAGGCATTGCAAGTACTGTACTAGACAAGACATTTATGGGTCCTTGGTTGAGTCGACTTACTGTTTACCATTGATTGTATAACCTGCTCTGTTTATGCTGAACCACTGTAATTTTGCCTGACGGCTTGACGATTCCATTAAAATCTAAGTAAAATGTGACTACATTTCTATTTATGTATTTATTATTTATTAGCAGTCGACGTTACTAGAATACATGTAGATAGATAATTGTTATCAATAAAAGCACCAGATAATTTATTTGGGTTAGACATGTGCAGTTGTAAACAAAAAATTCTGTCGCCTCTTTTGATGTTCCACGAAACCTGAGATTCAGAATCGTGAATCCGAAACATATATGGACAGAATAATGCATCAGTGTCTACTGCTTCGGGTTCACGAGTCTGAATCTCTCGGGGTTTGTGGAGCAGTAGAGGAGGCGACAGGATTTTTTTTCGTGACTGTATATTTATTATAGACAGTATAAGTCGGCCTGTAGATGATAAACATAAGTCAATTTAATCAAATTACTACCAAGAAAGTTATGGGAAGCATAATTATTTCCACGGAGGTCCTTTTGTTAATTGTTCATTATTAATAAAAGGGTGGCTGTTGTTACTGACCCGAGTTAATCTTTGGCACCTCGAAGACAGATATGGTGGAGTCGTAGACGTAGAAGTTGATGACAAATTCTCTCTCTTTGTCCTTTTCTTTATCTGATACAAGTTTGGCTCCGAATCGTAGAATTTTATCTTCGCAGCCATCCCTGTGTCAGAGAAAGATAAGGTCGTCTTAGAAATATTTGAGGTAGATTTTAATATAATCTATATTATCACCCTCTTCATGTGTTCGCACGTGCAGTCTACCCCCCGGACCTCACACACACACACACACACACACACACACACACACACAAAGATTTAAATTTTATTATTTTCTTCTGAATGATCCTCAGTGGGAAGATGGGAAAGGTGACTCACCTGAGGGAGCGGGCGTGCATGCCGCCGACGATGGTGGTGACGGAGGTTGGGAGTGGGTGGAGGGGGTCCCTTGGGGGCTCCTCCAGCCAGCGTGGGTCGAGGGGCTCAGATCGAGGCACACTGGGTACCGCCAGACGCCGCCGCAGGTACTGGTACTCCGCTGGACACTGATCTAAACCCGTGTTGCACTAATAATAATAATAATTTCCCAGCAGTTGTGCACATGAATACAGTCATAAATGTACATAATAAAAATATAAAGTATAATAATAATTATACAGCATTCGGTTAAGATTTCCCATTTCCCAAACTTTAAGCCAGAGCTGCAATTATGAAGACCCCTACGTTTATTTTTGCCCTCGACACTTACCTGGTATATGTTTAAAAAAAATGCGAGTAAAGTACTGACCTACGTCAAGTACGTTCTTGTAGTAGTTGGTGGTGAAGGAATCACACTCACACAGCCTCAGCAGCCTTCCGCCCACTGCCACTGTGTTGCCCAGCACAAGGTCCCCAGGGCCCAGGAACTCCGGACTCGGCCCTGCCTGCACCGCCCACCAACCGAACTTTACTACGTGACCCAACACTTGACGTGCACAATAGCATATCTTTAACATTACGGTTATGTGCACGCAATACTTAACATCATATCACGGTCATGCGCAAAAAAATTTAACATTATTTTCATAACTGAAGTACGGTACCGTATACAGGCAATATATCAACCTGTATTATTGACTGCCAAACACTCAAATGGATATATCAGAAGTTTCTTACAAACGTGACCGCTGTTACCTAGCGGAAGGTAACAGTGTGAGGTAGGTGGAGGTAGTAACACGAGGTCGTACCTGGGGTCTGCGGTCTTTAAGGTGGGCTTGGCCTCCCCTCAGACCCACCAGGTTGAGGGTGGGTCGACCCACTACACCCAACGCTGCTGCCGTGCTCTCCCCACTCGAGACCTGCTTAAACAAACACAATGTTGTACTGTACCACTAGATGCTGTATATACCAGTTTCACTTACCTTTACACGACCCTCATCTGTACTCTTTGTTTTTATTTAGCATTCAAAATTATTGTATTTTTGGTGCTTGATGAGTATATATCATTAAGGTCAGTGTCTCGCGATCTCCGACTACAGTTTTGATGGTAGAGGTCTGAAATTTGGCATGGAAATGTGCACGTATCACAGACGTTTCCTGACAGTGGGATATGGGGGTTGGTCCCTTAGAACCTGACTCCAATTTCCAAATGAGGAACCCCTTAAACAAGAGAAAAAATAAACGTCTCAATTAGGAAGAATAGATCACCACATACAAGTGGTATTGTTACTATTGTATTTGTTGTAGTGTAGACAATAATAGTCAACATATTGTATGTAGTGTAGGTGATAGTGTAGTGGATGTACTAAAATTTTAAAAACGTTGTCATGGGCACATTTGCACTGATAATATATTAATACCCACACCCACACTTGTGGGTTGGTCGAGTCTTACCTTGGGTATGGGTCCCCGCTTGAGGATCTTCGTGGGGAGGTGAGGGGGCGTGGGCGTGAGGGAGTCCTGGTGGGGAGTGAGATAGTGGACGCGCACTTCGGCTGTGTCGTCCTCCAGGTAGTAGCGAAGCTCCACCCGCTCTGTCACGGGCGTGGTCACCCCGCCCATGCTCTCTCCTTCCCCCACCCACTCTCCATAGAACCTGCCACACACACATCCCCCACTGGTCACTACCATTCTTAAGTATCATTTAGTTATATACTGAAGGATTAACACCAGTAGTTTTTGCCCAAATAGTAGTTGTAACTTATACAGTAATAGTGATGATAGTATTGATAATACAAGTTGTGGTTGTGACGGTAGTAATACACGCAGGGCGGAGTCGGTGCTGGTATATACACACCGTAACGCACTTCACGTGATATTAATACTGAAGTAATAATTGTGGTTAGTGATGGTGATCAATCTGATCAATACCAGGTACTGGGGGTCATCTGGGGGATCTATAGCTGGAAGTAAACATGTACAATACTCAGAGGAAAACATCTTACATGCAGGAAGTTGATTACTTGATGACCACAGGTGTGTTGTAGGTGATGATGAGTATTCCAGTATTTCTCCTCAACAACAGCTACACGATGAACTACCTGATCTACTCATATATATTAGTTATACTCCAGTGGTGGAATATAGGTAACAGCTGGCTCACCTCAGTACTTGTCCCGACTTGTTGACGAAGGTAGCCAGTGGGTGCCGCTTGGGCCACTCTCTCGAGAATTGCAACTTGCCCACCCCTGCCGTTCCCGACACTGCCTGTGTCACCACATCACACATCCGTAACCACCGTGATGATACCGTAGTCAATAAAAGAGAGACTTGTTAATACCGGAGTCACAACCTTGGTGCGGAGATAGGCGAGACTTCACGTGTTGCGTCCTGTTGTTTCCTGGATTACTTCAGTGACACAGTAAAGAGAGGTACAGTAGTTGTTTATTACTTAATACTCTTCACTTTGGAGCTGGTGTTATAGACCTGATAATAAACTAGAGGAACAAGACACTTTGAGTTGTTTAATTGGTGATGCAGGGAAAGAACAGAAACATCTTAGAGAAAATGAGGTGAAAGGTGGTGGAAGGATAGACGATAGTGTCAGGCCACCAGCTGGGCGTGAGAGCAGACGCACACACACACACACACATCCCATCCCTGTATACTGAATATTATATCTCACCAAACAATTTTCCTTTAAACAAAATCCCACAACTGTAATTTTAGAGTTTATCTCAGCACTGATTCCTAGTTTCGTTGTGTTCGGATAGGTGGCGTTTTGCTCTTCAACTGTGTTAGAGATGTATCAGGTATACCACAGGGCCGGCGGCTGAAGGAGATGATATACTAAGGGAAATGTGTGATCAGTAAGTACTAGTAACTAGGGAGAATAAGTCTGTCGAGTATAAAAGGTCCGGTGAGGTGTGGCCAGTGTCCGGTGCTTAAAGTTTCCAACGTTATCTTATTGCAGTAAATTCTTCATGCAGTTTTAATGTCAGCGTGGACGCTATCTACGAACCGTGATTTAAGGGATCATTTCATTGTTTCAGAGGTGTCGTGATACTACTTTACAAGGCGGTAAAGATGATGATGATAGTGCATTTATTGGCTCAAAAATCAATTTGACGATAACTGTAAACATTTGGACTGGTCCTTAAAATGTATAAGAATTCAGGTGAGTTGGGGAGGTCATGTGCGTCTCCCCAACACACCCGAATTTTCGTATATATTTAAGCAATAAAAAGCATCCGGAGGTTGAGGCTCCAAATATGGCCAATGAAGAACAACGAGTAGGAATAGCATGGCGCTAAACATTGTTAATGGTTTTGAAATAGTTAGGACATCAACCTCTGATTAGTTTGCAATAATAATGGTGGAGTGACCTGGCGTGGCATGGTGGTGGGGTGTGGAGCGAGGTTGTCGTGCGGAAAGAGGCCCAGGGAGGTGAGGTAGGTCCTGGTGGCGGCGTCACAGCTGGTCACCAGGTACCGTCTGCCCAGCACCGTCACACACTCTCCCACCTGTGCCAGGAACAACTATCTACAGCCTTACAGTTTCAATTATAAATATTACACTAGTATTGTATTAAAGATATCTTAACGTTAAAGGAAGTCCTTAACACTAGCTGTTTAACTGTTACACCTCTTTTTACTGCTTCTTCATAATAACATTGGAATACTTGAGTGGTGTAATAATAATAATAATAATAATAATAATAATAATAATAATAATTAACGGTTTATTGAAAGAGCTTGGCAGCCAGAAGGCTGAAAATATACAGTGTGTGACTGTTCATGTTTGTCAGCAGAGATGAGTTATTACAGATGGGGTGGCGTGCTGTCTTCGTGGGTTATGGATAAAAATAAAAAATGTATTAATGGACTAATATCGTGCTAAACTATGGTCCAGCCAACACTGTCACCATCACACTATTACTTATTCTAAGAAATTTTTTATAAGCATTCGTTTTGGTAAAATTAGATAAATTGATCATGCAATGACACAGGTAGGTTGGACTTACCTTGAGGTGGTGGAGGTGAAGGTGTGGAGCCAGAGGGTGAGTGGAAGTGGGGACCCGTTGCCGCCCCACCAGTGTGCCTGTAACCCCACCAACACAATGACTGTAAATTCAATCTTGTGCCAAAAGATCGTCAGTATTTTACCTTAGAGGTAATTAAAACCTTACGAAATTATTTAGTTCGTGTAGTAAATTAATTTTTTATGACTCCTTGCGTGAGGTAGTAGGTAGCTACCAAACAGGGAAGTAAGACCACCTGGGAAGATATTGGAAGCATAACGTGTTGTCTAATGGTAGACCCTGCTGCCATATGGCATCACGAAAATTGTGGCCAAGTCCTAGGTTGCTGATCTGACTTTCTGCCTCATTTACACACAATTGCAGGGACTCAATTGTTTCTCTTACTATTGACAACATAACATCCATACTGTATATTGTTTCTCACTCTGAATCTTTGTTTTTTTCATTTTTGTATTTCTTTATGGTTCTTTAGTATTATTATTATTATTATTATCATTATTTTATTTTATTATTTTTATTTTTTATTTGTTTTTATAAATTTTACTTATCTGAATTATTATTATTATTATTATTATTATTATTATTAGCTGGGGGTCCCGATGTGGGTCAGTGACCTGTGCCCGGGTGGGGTAATCCCTGGTAAAAAAAAAAAAAAGTTTAAAGAAAGTAAATATAAACCCGGAAAATGTTTTTTTACTTTTGTATTCATTTATATTTTCAGTAGAAGAAATTATTTGAGTTTACTTGGTTTGATTTAAGATAGTTAAAATTACACCGACTGACTTTTCAGGTGAAGTATTTCTGTGAACCTGAATTAGGACATACTGTTACCGCTAGATCATATGAATCCCTGTTTTTATTTTTACTTTAGATCAGCAAGAGCCAACTCGATTTTTTTTAACACTCCCACTTTATCACTGATTTTCTTCGCACTATTTACTTTATTGTTATCCGTCCCTAACACTGACATTGTGTGTGGGCTCCTGGATGACTCACCTTGGACGGTGCCAGCATTGTGTGTGGGCAGCTCCACCAGACGTAGTGTATGATCCTCCAGGTGGTAGTAGATCATCACCTCCCTCTGGACGCCACCCGCCACCTCCTCCACCAACACCGCCCCGAAGCTGAGGATCTGCCAAGGGAATGATTCTGTATCTCTTGAATAGACTTAACGGAAGTTCGATTTGGGCAAAAGGCACCGAACTTTTACACCTAAGATTATCACAACCTCATTATATCTCCCCCGCACGAGAGGAAGTTGAATTTTATATAATTTATCTCAAATTTTGAATTGGTACATTATCGTAAACTGGTAACCACGTAGACATCTTTATGGCTGTAAGTGTGGACAGTCAAATTTTCATGACATCCAAGGCGCAGCAGAAATCTTGGACAGTTACAATTGGTAAAGGTATCATGTCAACACTAAAACTTTTTATTAGATCAACATCACTCAGCAGATCTTGTTAAATCACCATCACCCACATCATACAAAATCACCATCACCCACATCATACAAAATCACCATCACCCACATCATACAAAATCACCATCACCCACATCATACAAAATCACCATCACCCACATCATACAAAATCACCATCACCCACATCATACAAAATCGCCATCACCCACATCATGTGCTAGATCACCGTCACCCACACATGGTCATATTTACGATACATACCTTATCCGTCATCACTGTAGCTCTTGACAGTGTGAGTTATTGCATTGTTTTGTGCGAAGCTTGTAAAAGACGACAGCACAAGGATACAGCTAATTTGTAACTAGCGTCTTGTTTCTATGGCGACGATGAAAAGTTAACGTTTTCTGTAGTAAGTTAACTCGTACGTTTTCTTTCAGAAGTATGATGGTAAACGTATGTAAAGGTATTGTGTTGAGGTTTGTTGTGGTCATTATTTCAAGGACCTATTTCGTTTTGTTCTCGTACGTAGTGAAGGCTTTTCCTTTGGGGGTAAAATATCAGTGATAATAAAGTATCACAAATCTAAACCATATTTTGTGTATCGTAGCAGGAGGCACAAACTAATTAAACCTAACCGAATTAAAACAACCACCCTAGGATTGTCGAAGTCAAATTTCTGTGCGTTAGGTTTGGCTACTTTATAATATAAGTCGAGGTGTTTGAAAGAGATATTAGTCGTGGTACTAAATTTAGCATTCTAATAATCTTCATCAAAATAGTGAAGAACCCTTCCCGGATATATATATATATATATATATATATATATATATATATATATATATATATATATATATATATATATATATATATATATATATATATATGTTACCAATTCTGTGGATCAGACAGTCTAGGAATGGCAATTTACAGTCATGCTCTAATTCCAGTGAATTTGATCGAGGGGGCTAAGTTATTAAGTTGTAATTCAATTGACAGTAGGAACATTATAGAATCCAGTCTCATTAAACATACCGAATCCGTCAACATGAATTTGAGCAATATGTACAAACTGGATAATTTCGTAATTAAGATTTGTAACCAGGTGAGGTTGGGTCATCTTACCCTGACCTGACTACCGACTGCTGCGGTGCTTTTTGAAGATTAGTAGGGTCACTACCTAATACCTGACCATTGTGGACTTGATTTCACCCTCCTCTGTACATATATACCTTATGTATTTCTTCTTAGTCTGTACTCACCCCTGAAGATGTGAATTACACGAAAGCGCTTGGGAACTTCGTGTTTTCCTACATCAGATAGATATATATATATATATATATATATATATATATATATATATATATATATATATATATATATATATATATATATATATATATATATATATATATATATATATATATATATATATATATATATATCTGATGTAGGGATAATTGCAAAAAAAGCGATTTTGGGGTTGAAAATTCTTATTTGGCCACTTTTGAGACGATCGTTTTATCATAATAGACGATGATAAAATAGTATTATGAACACAACTTAACATTATTTAAGTATAGTTTGATGTAGAGTTCGCAAAAGAAAAATATATATATATATACTGGACCGCTAAAAATGAATTGCGCTTCTTTTTCAAGAAAAACTTGCACGGCTGCCAGGTAAAGGTCAGTGCTCACATGGTATTAGCACGCTCCTTGTGCCAGAGGTAATTTATATATTAACTTAAGAAAAAATTTACTGGTTTCCATCACTTAATGCTATTAATACCTCGCGCTTAAATTTATAATAGGTTTCTCGGTATTATCGTTTCCATTTGAAACACCCCAACAATTGCGTATATAATTTAGATTCATTAACTTTTTCAAAAAGTTGTGTATTGGATTTAATGAACTATGTAGAGCCGTGTATTTTTCAGTTCATATCTGCTTCCATTAGATTGTGTATTTTCTTCTCATACAGTATATACTTTAAATTACTTTTTTCAAACCATTCAGACATTTCAACCTCACTTTTCCTCAGGTTACAAGTCATAACATCATGTAAAAGGATAAACGAAAGATAATGTGTTAAAAATCTATATAATTATCTATTTACACACAGGAGATATCTTGTATACGAGAACATCAGGTACAATATAAAAATTTACTTAAAATTAACACTTCTTACAGAAGTATATATTGTCGCACCTAGAGATGCCCTTACATCTACGGGTTTGTACGCTGGTCGGTTTACTTCTTGGTAGGCTTCTTTGCGGCCTTCTTCGGCGCAGGCTTCCTGGCAGCGGGCTTCTTAGCGGCGGCTTTCTTGGCTGCGGGCTTCTTTGCGGGGGCTTTCTTGGCTGCGGGCTTCTTTGCGGGGGCTTTCTTGGCTGCGGGCTTCTTGGCGGCTTTCTTGGCTGCGGGCTTCTTCACGACCTTCTTAGCTGCAGGCTTCTTGGCAGCGGGCTTCTTGGCAACAGGCTTCTTGGCAATAGGCTTCACTTCATCTTTGGCGAGTTTGAAAGATCCAGATGCACCAGCTCCCTTGACCTGCTTCAGGGCACCGTTGGAGACGCCTTTCTTCAAAGCATACTTCAGACGTACACCAGCCTTCTTCTCATCACCAACCTGATAGTTTGCGATAATATACTTGAGGATGGCCTGACGAGATGAACCAGTGCGTTCCTTGAGGACCTTCAGGGCGTTGCCGATCATCACAGCATAAGCGGGATGAGCGGGCTTGGCAGCGGGCTTCTTTGCTTTCGCAGCCTTCTTGGCGGGAGCAGGGGATGCAGCAGCGTCAGCCATTGTAGTTTGGTAGTTAGGTGGTTATGTAGTGGAGATATAAACTCTTACGAGGTCTCTGAGAGTGTGATGCCAACCACACGGTCTGGGGGTTTATATGTGCCCCGTGCGGACGCAAAAGTAGCCTCCTAAATACGCGCACTCGTTTTCGTTCAAAGTTGGTCGGTGTTCGCGACCATTTGTGTTTGTTAACTTACTTCCATCAATTATCACAGTCGTTAAACAATTTGAATTTATCTAATATTTGTAAATGCTGAAAGTATATACATTTAGCTACATATTTAGTAAAAGAATAAAAAAGTGCGACCTATTACTTTAAAGAAATGGCAGTAAATATGACGAGAACCTGAATCTGAAACTCTATATATTCTTATTTAAGTTCTTGTAGCTCTCTTATTTAGAAAATAATATATGTAAGCTATATATCGAATGAAAGAAGAATTATTTGTCTCTGACGCTGGGTAAAATTAAAGCTTAGTAGTTACAAAATGAAGACGTAATAAATGATACATTTTGGATAAACAAACACAGATTGCCGCTCTTGCAGCCATAGCTCTACGCTGCAGGAATAGGTCATCTCTCTTTTATTACGTTTATAAAGCCAAATTTTACTCTAAAACGAAGGTGTATTGATCTCAAGATATATTCTAATGATAATTATGTTATCGAAGACCAAAACTAATACAAAAGATGAAGTAAAACGAGCATTAGACACAAAAATATTTGAGGCCGTCTCAGGCCTCCGTGGCTGAGTATGGAGCGAACACCTTGGTGGGAGATGAAACAGTATTTTCTATAGTAAAATGAGGTTTATGTAAGCTGGTTGTGAAAATGGAACATGTAGTGAAGTTCTAAATCGTTCAGACTTCTTTAGCAATCAAATTCTGAGATATATACTGAAAGAACAGCCAAGAAATTCGGTAAAACAGAAGCGATATGCAAGATTCTCAGACCGTTACCTATCGAACAAGCAAACACGGAATAAGGCGAAATGAACCATATTTTTTGCTTCTAACTTTCTTAGATTTGAGTTTTATATACCATTGTTTATATTAAAATGACAAATGAAAAATTACAAATAGAACTGAAGAAAGATATATTTTTTTCGTCTTTCAGGACAAACGAGAGGAATGCTTTATCTCTACATCCAAAAAGATGACGGGGGTGTACGGCTTGATAATAGTGACTTAAACCAAAAGGAGTTAAGCTTTGATAATTCTTTAATAGCTGGCTCGACTTGGGTTGTCTGTGTAACTATTATGAAAAGTAATCGTCCTAGATAATGAGTTTGTTAAGAAATAAAGAGTAATTATAATAAATGGGTTACACTAATTAATTGTCACTTGCACAGTAAAACCCACTGGAAAAAATAAAGGAATTTTAAGTATACTGTCTCTGGAAATTACTCAAGTTCATTTTATTTCAGTAGACTCCTGTAGTTTTAATTAAAAATTTATGACAGTTTTTAAATAAAAACGATGGCTTTTGCATGGTAATTTTGTTAGTCTTAACCTGTTGTTAGGGCCTCTATTTGCAGCCTATAAACTGTCCAGTGGTTGTTGAATCTTGCAATCTAGATATTTAATGCCAATGAGAATATTCTTGTATCATCATTTTTAAAATCACAATTGTAGCTATATCAATTCAATTTGTCCTTGCCTGTCAGTGGTGAAATTACCGTATATACTGTACTGTATATTTAATAACATCCTTTTTATATCAGTATCATTAAAACCTTGCAAATGGATAAAGTAAGAATAGCAGGAATATGGAAATACGATGCCTATTTATATAGACTGTATCAGTATAGTTATGTTTTTACACAAAGATGCTTCTTATATCAGATTACTGTATAAGTAAAAATACGCAGTAAGTTTTATTAAATGTTTTTGAAATACTTGTTGAATCATATTGATTTACACCACTAAAATATCAGATAGAATTTCGTTATGAATGTATTCAAATATTGCTCGCTATATTTCAAAACATTACCAAAAAAATTATTTGGGTCAAAGTTTTTTTTTTAAGGGGGGGGGGGGCGTTATAAGGACGATTGTTCACTTTACTTAGATGTTGTGCTTCAATTATTATTTTATAACATACTGACTTGGAAAATTTTATATCAGGTTCTACAGCCTTCCATATTCACTTAAATACAGTACTGTATAGTATAGATGTAGTACATTACTAACCCCCAAAGCCACATAACCTAAAAAGGTGTGTAAGGATTGTATTACCAGTTTAAATAAAAAAGATATATATATATATATATATATATATATATATATATATATATATATATATATATATATATATATATATATATATATATATATATATATATATATATAATTTTGAGCCTAGAAACGTCGGCACATTTTTGTAAGCTAGTAATATAGTAAAAGTTCTTTGTTAGTTTTTCGTGATAACATCATGAACATCAGTGTTCTCCATGAAAGTAATAATCGAATAGTGTGATATATCATAATGACGAGTAAGTCGCCCTCTTATATTAACATGATGACAATAAAATGATCATGATATATTTGAATAATTATGAAAAATTAGATTGGCATTGAAATACTATAATGATGATAACTTAATATAATAATACTGAAATAATAATACGAATAAATTTAAGAATAATGGAATTTTAGAAACGGTATGCAGTATTTTTTTTTCTCATGGTATGTATGTACCACGACGTATGTTGCTGTTGTTATTACTTAACCTTCAGTTCGTTTAAAAAATATATATACTTGTACATTACAGTAGCTACAGTATATCAACAATATTATCATTGTAACGATACATCACTAGAATTGCATACTTCAGTAAGTCTTTAATTTCATTTGGCAAATCCATTTTTAAAATTATATATATATATATATATATATATATATATATATATATATATATATATATATATATATATATATATATATATATCCGTATGGAATTCTAAAATAATTTACTAAAAATTATAATACAATATTCTAAAGTTCCAGCTTTTTAAAGTTTCACAACTACTGTAGTCTTAGAATCTTGTCTGATTTGTTTTACCCATTTGATTTTTTTCTAGAATTTCATCACCATTAAAAATTATATACTTATGGTATATTGATATTTTTAGTTCTAAAGCTCCATTAATCTGATTTATTAATAATACTAAAATACCATGTTTAGCCAAAGTATTAATGGAATCCATCGGTACACCAGAACTGTTCCCCTAAATTAAGTTCTATGTAGCGACTTTAAAAAGACGTTAATAAATGCACGCAGGTAGGCAGTAAATGTATACCGGTAATTAGTGTTGCCTTCAACCATATGACATATTGATCATACAAGCCAGACTCAATATGGCCATGGCCAGTCCTCTCGCGGCTAGACTGGAGCAAGGCAAACCAACTCGTCAGGATGATTGTGACGATGCACAAGTTGTTATATCACACATTTGTAACATGAATTTGAGATGTGATGTCTGTAGTGGTCATATAATGGTATAAGTAAGTTAAGAGTTGAGTGTGAGTAGCAGGCAGGCAGGTAACAAGTCAACAGTGGCAGCAGCACCGGGCTATATCGGGCCCGCGTGCCAGGTAAGGGGGTCTGGGTGACGGTTGTGTGCGCCAAAATTTGAACTCCTGCACAGACCAATGATATATTTTTCCCTCTTGAGCCTCCCAGGGAATCTATATTAAATATGTACACTCAGGTGGTACAAACCCTAACTATACCTTGACAGCAGCATTAGTTTTCTACACATTTGTATTAATCATGAGGAAAACAGATAAGGGAAGTACAGTATTGTACGAGGTATATGTTTGACAGGGGTTCCACTACATAATACTGTATAATTATATATATATATATATATATATATATATATATATATATATATATATATATATATATATATATATATATATATATATATATATATATATATATATATATATATATATATATATATATATATATATATATCGTTATTCTTATGTTTACTCGTCATTCGTATACAGTATAATATTGTCTATAGATATTATAACTTGATACATGTTAATAAAATAGTTACATACTTTTAAAGCATTCATAAAGATGGAACAAAGGATATCTATAATTAAACGTATAAGTTGTTGTCAGCAATTTATATTTAAGAATATAAGATAAACCTCGCTCAATTTTACTATTAATATAAATTCTAGACCAAAGGTTGTACATCAATATAGTTGTTGGTAAACAGAGAGAGGGTGGTAGGTGGGGGGGGGGGACTGGCTGGGGTGGGAAACAAGGTTGGGGGGATTGAACCAAAGTGGGAAAAAGAAAGGGGGTGATGGAGTGGAGGGGGACCAGAGGAGGTGAAGGGAGTACGCGGGCTCAGGGTCCAAGTGAACAATTACGCAACACTCACTGCCCTTAACCTCGGGTCAAGGTCTAGGATACAAAGTTGTTAAGGAATGCGTTTCAAGGAAGATGTATTGAACTGTCTGTAAGTATAAATGAACAGTGTGTGTCTTACATGTGCATTAGAAAAATTCGCGTGAGAAATAAGGTGCAATACATAGGTTTCCAGTTATATACGAAAAGAGGTAATAAAGAACGAAACCCAAAGACAAACGTGAAATTGGTCTGTGAGTCTGAGTTGGCGCGCGGCCAGACAACGGGTGAAGCTATGGGCGGGAAATTTGAGGGAGTTTGAAGTTCAAATCGTGAGTTTTACCTTCACAAAATTTTTCGTTTTTATCGAGTACATTACTTACATATTTGTGATATACTTTATTATTTCAACAGTAATATTTATCGCTTAAAAGGAGCTTCGAATTAGTAAGTTACTGATAATGGCAGCACTATTCATGAATTCCCAATATTGCCACGTCTCGCATTCCCACACACACTCCTGTTGACTTGGCAACGTTGTGGGTACGCAAAGCATGTTTTCATTCCAAAGACGAGGAAGGGGGGGTAGGGGGGCATGAGCAAAGTCTGGAGTGTGGTTCATTGTACTCTCTCATCATTATTTTTCTTTCCCTCTATTTTTCTTTATTTTTGGTGTGAATTTCTTCTCTTTCTTTTTGGTGCT